AGTAGCCGTAGTAGTAGTAGCAGCAGTAGTAGCAGCAGTAGTATTTGAGATACTAGTAAGACTAGTACTCATAGCTTTATGTACTAGTACTAACTTACCAACCCTAAACCCTAAACCTGTATACCAACCCTGTAAAGGATCCCCAGCAAGGATCCCTAACAGGGACCCAGAGAACCCAATACCCCTTAATGAAGGAATATACCTTATATCATCATATTAAGGCGCTTGTGATTTCAGGTATATTCCCTAAACCCCAAAACGCTAAACCCTAAACCCCAAACCTAAACCCTTAATTAAGGGGTATTGGGTTCTCTGGGCTCCAGCAGGGATCCCTTACAGGGATCCCGTAGAAGCTCCACGAAGGATCCTTGGCCTTGGTCCAAAGCGCCTGAGGAGCCTCCTGGCGTGAGCTTTTGCTGGCAGGGTTTAGGGTTACGGGTTTAGGGTTTAGGGTTAAGGCTTTAGGGTTAAGGGTTTAGGGTTTAGGGTTAAGGGTTTAGGGTGTAGGGTTGGATCGGGTTTAGACTTGGGGCTTAGTGTAGGGGCTTTAATAATTGCCACTACTATTTTTCGGGGTTCCTTATGATGATCATAGTATATTCGTACCCCCAACACCCTATCCTTTTGAAAAAGGCCCCTATATAAGGGCCGAATTTTGGGGCTAAGGGTCTGGATTTAGGGTTCAGGATTTAGGGATCACGGCTCCTGCAGGGTGTAGGGTGTAGGGTTTAGGCTTTTGGGTTTTGGGTTTTGGATTTAGGGGTTAAGGTGTGTAGGATGTTCCAGAGCAGTCATTCCAATAAGAGTAAGGATCGTGATGTTTAGTGTCTCATCAAGGGTTCCTCGTTTTCTGATTCAGGGGTTAGTGGTGGTTCGCGTTTAGTTAGAGCTTCAATGTCGGATTTGAATTTTGGCAGCTTGGGGGGTTAAGACTTAGATTTGGCGCTAAGACATTCTGGCCTGTGTGGGAACGTGCTTACAGAAGATGTAATGGAGGGTAATATAGGGGCCTCAATAATTGCCTATGATGTTGCTTTTTGGTGTTCCTTATTATAGTTATATTATAATCTACACCAAAACCCTATTCTAATTATCAAGGTCTCTATATTAGAATGGTGTCTATGTAAGGTTTGGACTTAGAGTTCGGGCTCAGGGGTTGGCGTGGGGTTTGACGATTTCGGGTTTAAGGTTGAGATACCCAGAGAACCCAATACCGCTTTATCAACGAATATACCTTAAATCAGAAGATACATTCCTTTCTTAAGGGGTATTGGGATCACTGGGTAGTCTTGGCTCTTTGAGGTAGGCTTGAGAGCTGACATAAGCCCGTGAGAATTAGATGACCCTACCACTGACTGCAAGTGGTGCCATCCTGAAATTAACAGAACCTGGATGTTAACACCCGCTGGATTAGCACAGCCCTGGAATCTGTTTCTGTCCTTCTCCATCCAAGCTACTGTAGACCACTACTGACGAACGAAATCCTGCAACGACTTAGGAACTCTTGAAGTATGGTAGCTGTGGTATATTCTGTATCAAGCCTTGTATCTGAAACAAGGAATTCCTGCATTTCCCTGTGATGGATGCAGAGAGCTGTTGTCCACCAGCTGTAGCACAGCCCTGCCCCCCCAGCCCTAAACCCCAAGACCTTTAAACCCTAAACCCTAAACCCCAAACCCTAAGCTCTAAACCCCGAAACCCTATACCCTAAGCCCTAAACCCCACGCCCCAAACCCCAAACCCTAACCGAGCTTCCACGAGACCTCAACTCGAAGAGACTCAGTCACCTCGAAAATCAGAAACCCTAAGTTTGGCTTAAGCAATCAGGGTTCAGGCTTTAGGGTTTAGGGGATTAGGGTTTAGGGTTTGGGGTTCAGGGTTTGGGTTTTGGGGTCCAGGCTTTAGGGTTTAGGGGATTAAAGAATCAGAGTTGAGGCTTAGAGGTTTAGAGGTTTAGGGGTTTAGGGGTGTGGTGTTTAGGGGTTGCCCTAACCCCCAAATCCTAAACTGAACCCTACATCCCAAACCCTAAACCCTGGATCCTGAACTCTAAAACCCTAAGGCCCTAAACCCTAAACCCTAAACCCTAAACCCTAAACCCTAAATCCTAACCCCTCTTTTTCAACCACGGAGGCTCCAGGATTCAAGCCCTCAGGGTCGCGACCTGAAGCCTTCCCACAGGAGGTGGGTTTAGGGGTTTAGGGTCAGGTTTAGGGTTTAGGGTTTAGGGTTTAGGGTTTAGGGTTTAGGGTTTAGGGTTTAGGGTTTAGGGGTTTAGGGGTTTAGGGGTTTAGGGTTTCGGATGTAGGGTTTAGGGCTTCGCCTTTCCTGGAGGGTACAAATACTCAAGTAGCAAGCTTCTCAGTTCCAAGTACTGCTGGTGCCCCCTTTCCCTGTTCATCGTAGCCATCATCAATGGTCTTCCCGTCTGTCCAAAACATCATTTGGCTGCTTGGATCAGCTTCTAGTGGCTACCTACCAGTAGCGTACTTCGACTCTCACATCGACATCACCCTTCCTAAACCGTAGGGGTTTAAGTTTGGGGTTCAGGGTTTAGGGAAAGAGAGAACCAGGCTTGAATCCTTAAGCCAAGCCATCGCAAGATCACTCGGATCAAACTGCTATCGCTAAACAGGTTTCTCCCTTAACCCTAAACCGTCTAGGCTAAGCCGGAGAAAACGCTGAGCCCCTAAGGTACACCTCAGCGAACGACTTCTTTATGCGAGACTATGCCTTTGCAGCTGTTGCTTGGCAGTCCCGGAGTGCAAGGCAGGCTGAAATATGTGGGTTTGACGGTAGGAGCATCCCCTAACAGTCCCTGTGGCAGTACCTTTAAAGACAAGACCAGAATACTATAGGGGCCCAAATAATTACCTATATTATTTCGGGGTTCCTTGTTATAACTATGGCATAGTATACACCAAAACCCTTTTCTAATTATTAAGGCCCCGACATTATGTCCACAAACATTCTTCCAATTACAACTGCAAGAACGGGGTTGAGGTTGACTCCAGGGTTGAGAGGTTTGGTCATACCGTAGTTTCGGTCACCTACGTCGGGAGCAGTGAGAGAGCAGGGAAGACAGGATTCTAGGTTTAGTGCTTAGGGGTCTAGGGGCTTAGGAAGATGCCCTACATCTTGCACGCAGAGGACCTTCTATGGTTCTACAGGGGCTTCGAGCCCGCCTCAAACCCTAAAGCCTAGTCTGTAGAACCCGCCCTAAACCCCAATTCTTAGACCCCCCCCGGCCATAAGCTCTAAACCCTAAACCCCAAACCTTCAACCCTAAATCCTAAGCCTTAAGCCCTAAACCCTAAACCCAACATGTTAAGTTTCAATTTCTATATCTTAATAAGTTGTATGAACTTCAAACGTAGATTTTGCTGGATGGCTGGATCTGAGGCTCCCGAGCAGAACTTAGCAGAGAGCCTCGTCGTTTCGCCGGCCACTGCCGTGGTCACGTGGTTTGACACTTGGGGCTTGAATACGATATGTTTTTCTTTGGGGGAGTTGCGGGACTGTGGGATTCAGGTTTTGGGGGTTTAGGGTTTAGGGTTTAGGGTTTAGGGTTTAGGACTTAGAATTAAGAGCTGGCAACCAATGGAAGTCTCCCAGTGAGTTTGCAGAATGTTTCTGAGAGGACGGAATGAATCAGCTGTATAAGACTCTCAGCCTTGCGCAACATGAGGGTTTCCAAAAATAGGGGACCCTAATATAGTACCCGATATAATAGGTTCCTTACTATAAAGACCCCAAAATAAGGTACCCTAATTTTCGGAAAGTCCCTGACATATAGATCTGCACTGAATCTGCACTATGCCGTGGCCATTTTCGTTCCGCTGAACCCCACCCTATTATTCGGATTTCAAACGCATGGAGATTTGGAGGAAGCTTGCAGACATGAGCGTTTTTGATTTAAGCGATGTGTGGCTGTTGTCAAGCAATAGCGAGCTACAGCCGTAAATCCACACCCTCCTCATGCGCCATGAGATTGGGTCAGTCTCTTCCCTGTCGGGAAGCCTGACATGTCTTTGTGCAACAGCAAATGCCATCATTGCAACCTCAAGCCTTGCAAACACAAGCTTTAACCCCCTTCCGGGTGCCTCACTTCGTCAAGACAGTCCCGTCTCTCTCTCTCTCTCTCTCTCTCCGTAGGTGAGGGTGGCGGGTCAGAGGGCATCTTTAGGTGGTTGGGTGGCTGGGTGCCAGTGGATGATGGGTGGGTGGGTGGCAGCCGGTAATATTGATGCTTAAGGCTAACGGTCCATGTCCTGCAGCTTAAGCCGGGAAGCCTAAATCTTGAGGCCCCGAAACCGCTACGTTTCAAAGCCCGTGACCTTGCGCCAAGGACACTGCCAAGTCCATGCCAAAGGCAGCTCGACTGTATTGTCAATAAAGGGTCGACGAGCTTGTTGCCTTGTCCTACATATTTCACGAACTGGGGAAAACTAGCTCGGGCATGTAAACATGTGTATGTATGTGTGTATATACACATGACATATATATGTATGTATATATATATATATAATAACAAGATATGTCCAGTTACTTACCGATTTATCTTTATCCCTCCACGGCTCAAATGATAGGTCTGTTGTCCAGACCAAGGGGGGGGGTAAATCAGGGTTTGTGATTCAAGTTAACGAATCCAATTCCTAAGTAGTTGGGGGTCGACAACACAGATCGAGTCCATGAGTCGTCACCTAGGGACCTAGCGTGCATTTGGGTCCTGTCCTTGTTATGCGGGTAAACAAGCGGGTGGACATGTATGCATTAGTTACAGCGCGCATATGTACAAAGCCGTATGAACAAGCAAGTATACATACATGTGTGTATATATATATATATATGTATTCATTTGCTTAAGCACATATATAAATATGTACGCATGCAGCACGCTGTTTATATGCACACATGTAGGTGAAGGTCAGTATAGCAAAACCCAAGCCGCCTAACTGCGGCATGTCGGCCGCAACACCACTGATGCAAGACTTGTGGAAAGCCCCCCAAAGGAGGACAACCCTAAACCCTAAACCCCTAAACCTCTAAACCCCAAAGCCTCTAAACCCTAAACCCTTAACCCTGAACCCGAAACCTCGCTTTGGATCCCGATCCAACCTTCGATTGGGATGCCTCTAATCTTGATTTGCAAAAGGCCTTATAAGTTTTATTAGCAGGCACTAGGATGAGCATTTGGGCGCATTTGCCACTTAGGTACCTACATATGCATGTTTTTATGTATGTACGTACGTACGTATGCATGTGTGTGCGTATGTCCGTAGGTAAGTAAGTAGGCCGGTCGGTGGGTGGGTGGGTGGGTGATGGGTGGGTAGGTAGGCAGGTAGGTAGGTAGGTAGGTAGGTAGGTAGGTAGGTAGGCAGGCAGGCAGGCAGGCATGCATTGTATGTTTGTGCTTGCTGCTGTTTATGTTGTTACGAGGAATAAGATGCGTGCTAGATGTTGCTTTCATGACTCCCTTTCCCTGGCAGCAGGTGATATATCAACGCTTCCTCAGATCTTTCGGTTCTCTTTAACCGAAGTCCTTTGTTGGAAAGATTAAATGTGCGCGTGGTAGGGTTTAGGGTTTGGGGTTGTCAATTCTTTTAAACCTTAGATAGGAAGTCTGTGGACTAGGATCTTGCGATAAGGGGCCTAAAGAAGGTATCATGCTGTTTTGAGCCCGGGAAGCAGTAGGGTTCAAGGTTTATTAGGGCTTGAAATGAAGGCAGAAAACTTGGGTCATAACAGTTTCATATCTGCAACCTACCGCCAGGAGCCGTGCTCGTAAACTATCACCCCAGACCCTGAACCCTAAACCCTGAACCCTAAACACTAAACCCTGAACCCTAAACCCTCCGAGTTTCCTGCCTGTGGGCTGTGAATCCCCAACCATCCCCAACCTTTTCAGTCCTGGGCCTCCAACCCGAAACCACCGCAAGGGTAATATAGGGGCCTAAACAATTACTTACACTATTTTGGTGGGGCTCCTGAGTATAATTATAGTATAATGGGCCCCAAAACCCTCTTCTAGCTATCAAGGCCCCTATATTAGTCTGATTACTGACCGTCTCGAACCCTCACAGGGGGCCTTTTGGCTGGCATATTTCGCCATAAGCACAAGGAAAGAACCTAAGGGATAGTAGAACGTATTACAGAGCGAATCCCAGAAAGTTGGAACATGGGGTTTAGGATGAGTAGTCCTAGGATCCATCATACTTTACTTTCAGGGCATGAGGACATGAGGATAGCAATTTTCCAATTTTCGGATTCTACTATAAGCGGGCCCAACATAGCATTAAACAGACTTCGGGGGGTATATTCCTAAAACCGTTATGTTAAGGAAGCCTGAAGTAAGTATTTAGGCCTCTGCGGTAGACCCGAAAGGAAACCATCAGAAAGCCGCCTCACTGAAAGCACAGGTTCTAAAGAACGATGCATGGAGCCTGGACCGCGTGGGAATTCCACAGTACCGAGACTACGAGAATCATCCAGCATCCACCTCAGGCTAGGGTTTACAACCTAAAGCCATGCGCAATAGGCTTTAGGACACAGCCCCAAGCGTCAGGGTCCACTGGACGTTTTGCGCTGGATTTGTCGAGCAGTTGATGATTTGTCTGTGGGGTGTACCCTGAACCTTGAATCAGGATTTCCCAGGGAACCCAATACCCCTTAATTAAAAAATATTTTTTAAATTATACTAGTAAGGCCCCGATAATTTAAGGTATATTCCTTAATTACGGGGAATTGGGTTCTCTGGGTTGTTCACTGAAAGGGCACCGGGCTTGCGTTTTGCTTTTTTTGCGCCCACCTCAAAGTTGCGCGAAAAGGCTCTGGAGAGATCGTTTGCCCGAAAGCCCTCAGCTAATGTAGGGGCCTTAATAATTAGACAAGGGTTTGGGGGTATAGTATACTATAGTTCTAATAAGGAGCCTCCAAAACCCTATTCTAATTATTAAGGCCCCTACATTAGGTTGCATGCTTTTTTCCCCCCAGAACCGTACCAGACCTCGCATGGCGGCTATGTTGCGCCATACGGTTATGTATGGTCTTCTTACAGAGAATTACTCAGAACCCGTATTTGGAGCTCTGTAACCCCTCAGACAAAGTCAGCCACGTTGGTTCTCGGAAGGGTTCTGCGTCTGGTATACTATAGGAGCCTAAATAAATAATTAGAGCAGGGTTTTGGGGTCTGTTATACTAGAATAGTTGCAATAAGGAGCCCACAACACAGCATAGGTAATGACTTCGGCCTCTATACTACACGCATCGGACGGGCCTTCGGGTGTTACGACTAGACTTCCCCAGACCTTTTGGGAAGGTTTCATCGGAACGGCCACCCTCCCCCCCAAAAGAAAAAACAACAAGGCAATAAAAACCATCAATCCTATCGTTACATGCGAAGATAGACCCCGAATCGCAGGCCTGGACAAGGATTTAGGCTTCAGGCTGCGCATATTTATGATCATGGAAAGACCGTAAAATCCTTACCAAAAACAGTCCATAGCAGTTCCTGCAGAATGTTGTGTGGAACTTCGGAAAAGATCCAATATGGACAGCGAAGTCGGAAAGTTCGCTAGCTTTACACCGGGAATCTTGAAAGGTACATACCGTCGTAACGGGATTGGTTCCTTTACCAATCCCTTTACGGTTGAAGGTTTAGGGTTTAGGGCCACATAATACAGCCCTAAACCCTAGACCCTAAACCAATACACTACATGGGCACATGGATCCGTAGAAATGTGAAGGTGCCGGAAAGACCAGGGCTTGTCGAGTTCAGCTAGGCTTTCGTCGTCTTCCCAGTCTCAGCATTTAGGGTTTAGGGTTTCGGGTTTAGGAAGGCTTAGGGTTTAGGGTGTCGGGCTTCGGGTTTAGGATGGAGTTTAGGGTTTAGGGGTTTAGGTTCTGAGCTCGACCAAATCCTGAACGGCTGAGTTGCAGTTACTCATCCCCGAAGCCCTGAACTCTGAAGTTTAGGGTTTAGGGTTTAGGGTTTAAGGGTTAGGGTTTAGGACTCGAATACCGAGGCGGCGATGATGTACTTGGCCCCAGCGGACTACCACTGCTATCATGCACCTATAGCTCCGCGGCTAGATCTACGATATGAGGGTTTCCGAGAATAGGGGACCCTAATATAGTACCCTAAATAGTAGAACCCTTATTATAAGGACCCCAAAAGAAGGTACTCTAATTTTTGGAAACTCCCATATACCGGTGCCTGAAGGTTCGTTGTGTTGTCTAGAGGGTTTAATACGGGATTTGAAGGGCTTCATCGGGCTTTTGAGTGGTTTCGTAGGGTGTTGAGGACATCATGATATCACTACTTACTGAACCCTTTTACACTACAGCCCCACGTTCCCAAACTTCACCCCAAGTCCTATCCCGGAACATCAGAAAGTTACCCTAAACAGCGTGTGCATTGTCAGGTCATCTTGGGGGTCGTCAGACCCTAACCTTTTTTAGGGTCATACCCTACCCCTTTTTTAGGGTACCTACTTTTTTATATAGCAGATGCTAACCATAAACTGGGTACCTTAAAAATGGGGTAGGGTAAGACCCTAACCTCTACATCCTACCATGTTAGAATTGGGCACCTAGAGGCTTGATTCCATGCAGGTAGCACTGGTGGTAACAGTACAGTAATACTGAAACTTAATCATAGGAAACAGAACAGAAATCCGGAACAAGGAATTGTAATGGAAGTAGAAATAGTATAAATTCGTTTCGCAGCAGGAATTGGAATGAGAGTTGGAATGTGAACAGACATGTAATCATAGTCAAAACAACAAGAACGTTACTAACAACCGGATAAATATCTGTACTAGTAATGACGCTGGTACTAACAACAGTACTAGTGATTGCAAATTTAAAAGTAGTTGTTTACAGCAACAAAACATAAATAGACCATACGTTGTCATTGCCGTGATAACCATGGCGCTAGTAAGTCGTATTTTGTTTTTTCTTGGTGCGGTGCCAAGGGAGGTTTATCCTATGCCCTAATAACTCACCCTAAACCCTAAACCCTAAACCCTAAACCCTAAACCCTAAACCCCTAAACCCTAAACTCTAAACCGCAACCCTTAACCGTAACCCCAAAAAGGCAGCCCTTAGACCTTCAATTTGAAGGCCTAAAAACAAGGTTTAGGGTTTAAGGCTTTAGCCCTTAGCATCAAAATAGCCCAAAAGCCTTATATAATAGGGTCTTTGGGCCCAAAAGCCTTAAAATATGAGTCCTTAGAGTCCTAGGGTAGGGTTTAGGGAGGGCCCGCGATAGAGCCCTCAAAGGAGCCACAGCCCTATGAACCCAGCATGGAGCCGTTTCGAAGACCATGAAGGCTGGCAAGCTACTGTGGCTGGCGCTGTTGGACCAGAACCGCTACAGCGTCACAGCCACCGGCCCAGGTTAACGGTGTATCTACCAAATTTGAGATTCAGGGTATCGGTTTAAGTCCTTACTTAAACCGGGTGAGTATATCGGTGGCTAAAGGGCAACCGTACGGATTGCTCTAAGGTTTGCTATGTAGGCCTCGTCGGGTATGTTCCGGAGACCGATGCTTGCAATATTCATCAGCCAAGGATCGTTCTTAACTAAACCCGAAACATCCCCAAACCCTTACCCATAAGCCTTATGGTCAACATTCTCGCGTATTTGCTCTTGACGGATCTGGGTCAGAGTCTCCCGCGACTAAGGTTCACCTAATTATAAGGCTCCAATGACGGGGTCATAACCTCTCATTTCTGTCTGGTGCTTAGTAGGGAATGGGGGAATGGATCCCTATGATAGTCCCTTAAGGTCCCTTATAGTAGTCCCTAAAACCCATTCCCCCATTCCCTACTAAGCACCAGACAGATTTCGTAGAGGTTGGGGCAGCAGGCGAGGCCTTTAGGGTTTTGGCCAGCGGTTGCTACGATCCAGGCTCTGAAAACGTTTATGGGATTTACCTGTAGTCTCCATTGTAGTTCCTTTTTTTGGTTTAACCAATTCTATATTAAGGATTCTATAAGGCATCCCCAAAAAGCAACTACAATGGAGACTACAGGTCGGGCCCTCCGTTCCTCCATAGCCGCCTGAAGTCTTTCCAGGATTTTTGTGAAGCCTCCACCAGGCCAACCCGAAGACTTTACGAGAGATTCTAGAGGTGCCGTTCCTTGATCCCCCCAAATTGGACAAATATAGGGGCCTTAATAATTACCTACACTATTTCGGTGGCTGTTTATTATAAATATAGTATCATATACCCCAAAACCCTATTCTGGTTCTGCTGTCTGGTGCTTAGTAGGGAATGGGGGAATGGGTTATAGGGACTACTATAAGGGACCTTAAGGAACTATCATAGGGATCCATTCCCCCATTCCCTACTAAGCACCAGACAGTCCTAAGGCCCCCAAACCCAGTCCCTAACCCCTAAACCCTAAACCCTGAACCCTGAACCCTAAGCCATAAACCCCTAAACCTGGTTCTTAAGGCCCTGCATTAAGTGCAGAGCTGGGTCTTCATGAGGTTGGTTGGTCGCTGCGCTCCCACGTTGCTTCAGGAAGTCCCCGGGTTGGTGTTGGATCGGTTGGGTAATGGATTTTGGGGTTTAGGGTTCAGGGTTTAGGGTTTATGGTTCAGTTCAGGGTTTCGGGTTCAGGGTTTAGGGTTTAGGGTTTAGGGTTTAGGGTTCAGGGTTTAGGGTTCAGGGTTTAGTAGAGGGACACCCGTTCCGGGAGCTCCCACGAGCGAAATAGAAGGGTAATGCAAGGCCAAGTATGACATTGCAGCTGCAGACTATACGGATACTGTTTACAAACCCCTATAGAAGAGCAGCCCAAAACCTTAAACCCCAAACCTTAAACCCTAACCCTTAGACCCCACCCTAAACCCAGGAACGGTTGTTCTTCAATCCTTCAAGATGGGAATGGGCCCAAAAGCCCTCACAAGTGAGACTTGACACACAATCTCTACCCCTAAGGGTCCATGTGCTCATAAAAGTAGTCCCTATATAGGTACTTTGGGGCCTCAGTATATACTATTTGGGTACATGGACCCTTAGGGCTATAGGAGTCGGAAAGATTTTAGGATACTGTTCCGTGGTGTTCCCTACTGTAACTAATGACACCCAGAGGACCACACACCAAAGGCCAAACCCTAAACCCTAAACCCTAAATCCTAAACGCCGAAACCCAAAGCCAACCCTAATCCCTAAAACCCTATCCTTACGTAAGTATGTACTGCATGGGTGCATAGACCCTCAGGGCCATCGAGCACTTGTGAAATCTTCATAGCCCCTGTAACATCCTATCACACCCAGTCCCAGAACCCAGAGAACCCAATACCCCTTAATTCAGGAATATACCTTAACTCATAATATAAAGTCCCTTATAGTTTCAGGTACATTCCTTAATCAAGGGCTATTGGGTTCTCTGGGAAGGTGAAGCCTTACATCTTCTCCTCTGTCAACATCCTGACACGAAATCGGAGAGCCGTGGCGGTCATCGAGAGCGAACCTCGGATTGCATTTGGGCAGGTGACACGCAAGCAAGAACGGTTTGAGCGCCTTAAATCCTAAATCCTAAACCTTGGGGCTTAGCATTTTTTGGGCGCCATAAACCCTAATCCTGAACCTTGGGGCTCAGCATCTGTTTATCGGCTAAGCCCTAGATCCTAAACCTTAGGGCTTCGAATTGTGTTAGCGAAACGCTGAAGGCCGTCCCGCTAAAGCCTAAACCTGATGGTGCTGTCCGGAGAACTTCGAAAGCAATCTGCACACGGGCACCTCCAAAACCAGGTTTAGGGTTTAGGGGTTCCAGCAGGTCATTTCGAGGTTTGGTGGTTTTGGGTCTACGTAGGCGTTTTGGAGTTTAGGCGGGGGTTATAGGGCGTACAGGGCCTAGGGTTGCAATGCCTGCTTTACGAAGTCCCGCAATACAAGGCTAACCAGAAGACTTATGTATAGATTAGAGGGGTACCTCTTATGTATTCCTGCAAGACAGCAAGATTGGAGTGCGTGAAGACCCTAACCCTAACCCTAAACCCCAAACCCATCAACCCTAAACCCTAAACCCATCAACCCCAACCCTTAGTATAGGACCCTGAGAACCTTAAATCTCTAAGCCGTACTTCTCTAAACCCTAAACCCTAAACCCTAAACCCTAAACTCTAATCTGCTCTGAGGATGCTCGACCAGGTCTGCGGGTAGCCGTCGTCATCGTAGGCAGGCTCGGGTTCCACATTGATCTGTCTGATGCTTAGTAGGGAATGGGTTTAGGGTTTAGGGTTTAGGGTTTAGGGTTTAGGGTTTAGTAGGGAATGGGGGAATGGGTTATAGGGACTACTATAAGGGACCTTATAAGGGACTATCATAGGGATCCATTCTCCCATTCCCTACTAAGCACCAGACAGTGATCTAAGGTTAGAAGTATGGGCCCCCTAATATGGACCCTTAGGGGATTCTATTAGGGGTTCGGGTTTAGGGCTTAGGGTTTACGCTAGAAGTATGGGCCCCTAATATGGACCCTATAAGGATCCCAGGGTTCAGGGCCCGTACTAGGGGCCCATGGGTTCAACCTTAGAAGTGAAAGGCTGTCGGGGTTCTGGAGGTATGGTATGGTAATCTCCTGAAGAGTCAAATGGTTCAGGGTTGAGGGTTGAAGGTTTATCCCTAAACCCTTAAACAGCCCTAAACCCTACACTGTAGGGTTCGGGATGTTAAGGGCTTAGGGTTTTAAAGTGAAGGTGGTAGGGGCTTCGGAGTGCTTAAGATTTAGGGAATTTAGGGTTTAGGGTTTGGTGTTTAGGATTTTGGAGATAGGGTTTAGGGTTTAGGGGGTATAGGGCCCTAAACCCTAAGCCCCGGAATTTTGAATGAGCAGGATGCCCGAAGAGTGCGCTCCGAAGACAACGGTGGTTTGCGATTCGCCGCTGTTTTTAGGGTTTAGGGGGTTTAGGGCCCTAAACCCTAAAGCCTAAGCTTCGGAAACTGTTCAAGAGCAATTACGAAGTAAACCAGTAATACAGTTCTGTCGGATTCCTTGTCATATCGATACGATAGTGTAATCCAGTGTCATGTTGAAGTGATTTAAGGCACCCCGTGCCCAGAGAACCCAATACCCCTTATTCAAGGCATATACCTTAAATCATAATATTAGTGGGCCCTATAGTTTAAGGTATATTCCGTAGTTAAGGTGTATTGGGTTCTCTGGGTATACTGGGTTTCAGGTTCTGGCTGTGCTTTTGTAATGTCAGCCTGGGCCTCCGGTGGATGAAAGCCCGGGTCTCTGAAGAGCTACTCATATAGGAGCTTTGCCTCGCATTAAGGGGACATCACCCGTTTTGTAGGGCTCGGGGTTAGAGGTAAAGCCCTAAACTTTGAACCCTCAACTTACATAGAACGACGCTGAACCCTCATCTTAAAAGAGCTTCGTGGCTTAAGCCTCATTGTGTACTCTAAACTCTAACCTGAAGCCGAGAAAACCCACGAGTCTTGCTACATGCATCCTCCACCCCAAAGGCTACAGCCTGCTAGGGTTTAGGGTTTAGTGTTTAGAGCCCTCAATGCCACCATTCCCCAGGCCCCTTGAGGCTTGAAGGATCCAGAATCTAGACAATGGAACCCCTCGAAAAGGCATCCTACAATCTGGTGTGGGTTAAGATTGGCCCCCCTTCAAGGGTTCCCTTTTCTGAGTTCTTAAACCCTATAAACCCTAAAACCCTAAACTTCTAAACCCCCCTTTCAAGGGTTCCAATGTCTGGGTTCTTAAACCAAACCTTATCATGCACTACTCAAACCGCTAGTCTCACCTATGTCTTAGATACTTCAAGCAATCTGGACTTTCTGCCAAGAGGTGGGGTTACCGTGGATTCGATCCGATTGGAGCCGAAGCTGTGCGAAGCTTGACTGCCTTGGGCGGAGCCTTTGCACCCCTGGCCCTAAGGTTCCATAGTAGTTCCTTTCTGGGGGTTCATACTTAGAATCCTATAAGATACTCCCAAAAAGGAACTACCATGGGCCCTATGGGTAGAGAACTGCAAGTCCCCCTTAATCTGTAAGAATAGCATTTCGAGTTAAAAGATAATCAGTAGTTAAGGATTTCGTTTCGAGGTAAAAGAAATTATGGGTTTGTGTTAGCACGTGCAGGCCAGAAAAGGTTGATGCAAGAATGCACTTGTATAAATATAACATACACATGCATGCAGAGGGGAGGCTGAGCAGGTAAGCGTGCGTGCGTGCGTGC